GATAGAATCGTGATGGAAGTAGAGCAAATGAGCAAATAGTCTATCAAACTAATGCTAATAATAGGAATTAAGATAATACTATTTTAATAAAAGACTTTTTTTAAAGGCCCAAATTATACCATTTGAAAAATATCTGCAAATTTAACTATGCTAGAAAGTCTGTATAACCTGGTACAACATTACTACCTGTGTAAAAATTGGTAGCAAAATGGTGCTCTGAGGGTTACTGTGTTTACAGGTACAAATAACTTAAAATGGTGCATAGTGGATAGTAATAGCCAGGTAAGTTTAAATATTATTATTATTATTATTTTCCATTGAATTGTCTTGTCATCTATATTAGTTCCCTATGGCTGCTGATAAATTACCACAAACTTGATGGCTTAAAATAACAGAAATGTATTCTCTCAGAATTCTGGAGGCCAGAAGGCCGAAATCATACTGTCTATAGGACTGCACAATAATATTATGCTATTATTTTTCTTTTATAGAAAATATGCAATAAATGATTGATAGGTTAGCTTAATATGTAATTAGGACACTAGTTCATAACATATTGAATAACATTGATATTTTAGAGCACATTGCATAATTCAACCATAAATGTTAGACGGGGAAAAAACATTGTATTAGCTTCCTATTGCTGCTTGAACAAATTATCACAAACTTAATAGCTTAAAACAACACACATTTTTTACTTTGCAGTTTTGGAGGCCAGATGTCCAAAATAGGCCTCACTGGGCTGTACTTAAGGTGTTAGCAAGGATTGTCCCTTCTGGAGGGTCTAGGGGAGAATCTGCTTCCTTGCCTTTTCCAGCATCTTAGAGCCACCAGAGTTCCTTGGCTCATGATCCCCTTCTATAGTCAAAGCCAGCAACGGCCCGTCAAGTCTTTCTCAAGGTGCCATCTCTCTGGTTACGATTCTTCAACCTTGCTGTTTTCCGTTTAGGGATATCTGAGATTATACTGGGCTCACTCAAATAATCCAAGTTAATCTTCATGTTTTAAGGTCAGCTGGTTAACCTCCTTTATTCCATCTGGAACCTTAATTCCACAGTGCAATGAAAGCTATCATCTTCATAGGTTCTTAGGATTGGGGGGTAGTCATATTTGTGGGGATGAAATTATTCTGCCTACCTCACCCATTCATAGGGAACTTAGTTAACACTTCATAGGGAAATTAGTGTATTATAATCATTTCTATAAATTGTGAAGTCGTTCATGAGCAGTTATTATATTATTTTACTAAAGGCAGAGTAACTGCACATCAGTCAGAGAACATGAAAAAGTAAAATGTGATCTCTAAATAATGTCCAGAAAATATCTCAAGGTTAGACTGCACTATCAGGTATTTTCAACCATTTCTAGTCTTGAAGCATGTATTTCTCTCCTTAGATTATTATAATAATCCTTAGATTATTAAGTACAAATCTTTTAGTAATTTGTAATGTCACATGTTTCTGCATATTTTACCTGTTAAAATTGGGGCATTCTTAAGAATCTAATGTAAGACTATCACTTAGCACAGTGGCTTTGCATAATAAATGCTAACTAAGTAATTAAACATCTTGTTATTTCTAATAGCTTTTTAGATACAGCGGCTGTTTTGCAGAAGATGAATGACATATGGAATGTGCTGTTGGGTATCATGCCATAGGTGGAAGAACTAGGAACTCCAGACTTGTGCATTTGCCAAAATAGTGAGTTAAGATTGCTTAGAGCTTCACATAGAAACTAATTTTTTGAAGCAATACTTTTTTTGTAACATTAAACCCCCAAATATAATAGCTTCATCTCCTCCTTAATTCATTCTCTGTTTGATATTGTAAGAGTTGGAAATGCGCCAGAGAGGCTAAGTTATAGTCGACTTGGAATGAAATCTTCTGGAGTATTGAAAAGAGAATGTTTTATGGAGAATTGGTAAAGGTGATTTTTTTCTTGCCTAGAATAATTATATATATATATAGATGGATGCTGTTTTCCTTATGGTCTTGAAATCTGTGGAAGCCACAACTCAGAATGACTCATCAAATGCCATAGTGACAGTGAGCAGAAATATTTTGAAAGATATTACCTGAGGCGTTTTGCTCTGGGCCCAATTACAACCAGATAGGCTTGGTCTCTGCCTTCTCAATGTATTATAAGAATCTATGGCAGCACAAGGGCTTAAAGTATCAACAAATTTAATACTACAGAGATTCTATTAATTATAAAACATTAAGTATTAAGTAAATGCTAGTATGAAACAAAAGTTATTGCCATTATCTGCACATGCATGATATGATTTTTGGGGATTAAGATAATTTTTAATGCCATGATTATATAGTTTCACTAAATATCGAGCATATCACTTTATCACTTTGGTGAAATACATTAAGGAATACAAATTCATGTAAAACAAATAAAAAATTCAAACATATTTGAAAATTAAACATGGACAATTTCCTTATCACCTTTTTTTTTGTTAAGCATATCTACATTCATTAGTGTGAATAATCAAGACATAATTGATCATGCAGACTTTTTTTACTTATTCTGAGCTATTATATATTCTGTAAAAACCTTTCACCTCTTCATTATGTGACCTCAGTTCTTTTTTCAGATGTCTCAATCCAAGAGTAGTCAAATAATGGGACTGATTTTTCTGGTTGGGGAAATGGTTGCCTGGGTAGCTCATTTTTAAGTTTCCAGAGTCATTTCTGAAACTTGGACCAACTGCCTGTATTCATTCTCTGTTTTCTCACTAACTAAATGCTGGGGACTCTGTATTTTCCTTTTCCCTCCCAGTTCTGCTATCACTCCATCTGTACCTTGGGATTCTTCTCTCTTAACTAATGGTGAAGTGAAACAGGGTTTACTAGATGCCTCTATCTTCCCCTAACTCAGGGCTCTTAACAGGTACAAACACCCTAAAATTCTAGGAAAATTTTTTCAGGCTAAAGCCTTCCCTATCACTCTCTGAATCATACTTTTCCAGGTCAAGTTGACTGATTGGATTTACTAAGGAAGCTTAAGAGTAAGGTAGGGTACCTTTTCAGTGTCTTCTCTTGGGGAGATCATTTGTATTTTGGGCTGGACCTTTAAACCAATGCTTCCCAACTGATTTCATGTGGTGGACTCACAGAAAGTAATGGTATTTTTATAGCACACTCGGTATCACAGAAAAATCCACAGTGTGGTTATCCATGCCCAGAAGCTGTGGGTGCCCAAGGGTCCTACACTGCTACTCTGAAGGAATAAATGTCTTGTGCGGATCTGTTACCTATTCTCGGTTGATTTCCCTTCTTGCTGTTGGGAAGCTATAATTTAGACAAAAAAGGTACCTATCTCTAGTTACCTTCTTGGAATAGGAATCTCCTTGGCACTTTTTTCTTTTCTTTTTTTCCTGGGATATAGAAATTCAGAGTGTTCCTGCTGGTTCATTTTATTCTTTTAAGATAGCAGATAGAACTGAATAGGCAGACTATTTTTCATTTCTCCTACTTAAGTATTGTTTTTAACTATGAAGCCACATTTGTGTAAACATCAAGACACGATGAAGGAAGCCAAGTGTCAGACAGTGTTGGTGGACGAGACTTAAGTTTCTGTTCTGAATTCAATAGGAGTTTTTCTAATTTGAGGTGATTACAGTATGCCCAAATATACCAGAGTGTTTTTTCAAGGCTTAGGGTGGTGAAAGACAAGAATTAAATTCCTAAGAATAACTAATATTTGTAGAAGTACAAACTATCTTCCCTTTATTCTTAGGGTGGCTTGAATCTTTCCATCCTTTAGCTCTGTTTAAATAAAACTGAGATGACTTCCCACCCTAAACCACATGAGTGCCCTTCACTCTTTATCAGTCCCTTGTTTGCTAGTCTTTCTAAGCACTTTACATACATACATATTTGCTTACTTGTTTCTGCTCTCTCAGCCCTTTCAGAATATAATTTCCTTGAGAGCAGGTACCACGTCCAGGTGGTTCACAGTTGTACCCTAGGTGCCTAGAATAAAGCCTAGCACATAGAATGCACCCAAATTTGCTGAATGAACGAAACTCAAAACCTGTTTTTTGTGAAGAGCATTTATTTGAACGATAAATTTTAAAA